AAATCAAGAGAACTCGCGTCTCATGGTAAAAATACAGGAATATACATGAAAAGAGAAGAATTTACGGAAAGTAAAATCTATACTGGAAGTGCAACCAGACTAATGTACCATTAAGTCCCAGATGTAAGCATATGATTCACCTAGCACCTTCACTGCCCTTGGAAATTAGTATTTTCCAAAGTACCAAGCTCCCAAATTAAATTTATGAGAAATGAAGAAAGGCAAGAGTAATTGTAGGATGCTATGTCTATTATCCTGAAACATTCATTTTCAGAACACGACTTAGTCGCTGCTTCTATGTCTCAAATAGAAGAAATAGTTGTCTAACAGTGCATCAAATCATGTTAAATGTTGTCACTTTGGACCACATGAACCAAGCATATCTTTTGTCTGGTACATAAGTAAAGAAAAGAAGGCTCTATGCCTGATTCGAACTAAACTTGAGGGAAAAGAAGTCATAGAAAATTTCCCCTAGGAAATTAAATCTTAGAGCTATCAATGGAAAAACTTTAGTCATACAACACTCTGAGTTCTAAGATCAAGATAGAATTGTTCAAGAAATCTCAAAGATGCAATACAGATACTACCCATTTAAATAATATTGACTTTAGTTCCTTTTCTTTTTTGATAAGGAACATTGACTTTAATTGTTATGGAACAACAAAACAGCTCCCAACTTGGTTCTGATGATTTCTTCAAGTGAAAGGTAAGGAGGAACAGCAGAGTTATCCAGAGCCAACTAAAAGTCATCATAGTCTTCCAGGGATACACACATCTATCGAGCATCATACCCAACTCAATAAACTCCTTTACAGCCCATTTGTTGCAGCCACAACAGAAAACGATGAATATTTGAATAAGCCACTAAATAAGTCCAGCCACAGCGATGGAGAAGATTCAAGCTTTAACTACACTATAATGCATTAGGACTACTATCAAGTAGAGACATCTGTAGTCTGTTGTTTATGGACTGCTTTGTAAAAACAAGCATTCACAATAACTGACTAGAGACTAGAGGGCATCGCCATCTCTGATAGAGCAAGCAGACGTTGCTACTGTTAACTGTTTTAGGGGCTTCAGTTATCATATTCAGTTAACCAATGAGCAAAACAGATTCATCCTCAAGCATTTCTTCATTTTCTTCCAGAGTCTGACTCTATGTTTCTATGGTCTTCCAGTTTGTCTTTCTGGCATTACCTAGGAGAGGAGAATTCCGATGTGACTAAGCAATAGTCCTTCCTTGACAAGAATGTGCATAAAGATTGATGGCAAGTTTGCCCTGATAATGCTGTTACTAATTCTATTAACATCAAAAGGACGACTATAACATAGGTTTGGCTGGCTTCTATGGTCTTGCAGTTTGTCTTTCTGGCATAACCTAATTTTCATAAAGTGATTGTTAAACCAGCTATGTTGTATGGGGCAGAGTATTGGACGGTCAAGAACCCGCACATTCAGAAGATGAAAAAGATTAGGAATGCAGATATTCTGGACAAGGTGGGAGTGGGCCCCGTGGTAGACAAGATGAGAGAGGTGAGACTGAGATGGTTCGGGTATGTGAAGAGAAGATGTCCAGATGCCCCAATGAGGAAGTGCGGGAGGTTGGCAATATGGATCTGAGGAGAGGTAGAGGTAGGTCGAAGTAGTACTGGGGAGAGGTGATTAGACAGGACATGACACACCCGCTGAGAGGTAGAGGTAGCTCTGTAATTACTTCAATAAACTTCTTTGTGGCTAATGCCACAACCTCACTAGGAGAAATATGAAATCTGATAGACCTCTATATTTATTCCAATGGAGTACAAGATTCCTATCTCCACTCACATTAAGGATCCATAAGCACACAAACATTGTTAAACGCAAATCCAATTACAAAAGAACTACAATCACAACTCACTTCATAAAATTCGATCACTACCAACTCAATAGCCTAAATCCTAATCCTTCCCTATTGGTCAAAGATTTAATCTTGGAAAAGCAAAATGCACTAAACATAAGATAACTCATACCAATTAGGCATCAAATTGGCAGCAACAAACAACCAATAGCCAGTAGTGCCAAGGATCAAAGCATTCTTCGACCCAAGCTTCCGAACCACCAATGAAGCAAATATTGAGCAGAACATAAATGACAAATACAATATCCCCAGTGAAATGGTCCCTAAATTTCCTTCCTGAAACACAAAAAAGAAAAACTCAAACTCACTATCACAGTATCACTTCGTCTAAGCTCGCAATTGGCCATAGATTTTGAAAATTTAATCTTTAAACTCTGATCACTTTTTGGGGCTTCCACTCACAAAACTTCAAACTTTTTCCAATTAAAATACACTTCCAAACACAACTTCAAATTCAAAAAATCACAACAAAAACTCAAATTTCAAAAACTATAGCCAAATGGGAGCTTATAAGAGCCAAACAAACTCTATCCAAAATCACAATTCAACACTAAATAACCCCAAAGACTTCATTAAAAATAGATAATACACAAAAACCTTACTGTATTGATAGTGCTTTCAAGATTCTGAGCAGCCCCATAAGCCAAAAAAATCAACAAAAAAGCAGAGCTCAGAATATAAACATCCCTTTCATGATTCACAATTGAGTTCTCATTTTTCGAAATTTCAACAACAAGGGGTGCTTCCTCATCCATAGCCATTGACAAACCAAAAAAATATCAAGATCAACAAACTTACAACAAAATAACCACAACCCACCAACAAATTTATGTACACAAATATATATATACAAAAAAAAAATCTTTTTTTTGTCAAAAGAAAGAGAAATTGAGTGACACCATTTGCCGGCAAAAGGAACTATAAAGAAAAGTACATATAGAAAAAGCTTAAGCTACTGAAGAGAACTGATGAATATGACAATAACAAAACTTCAGCGGCCATAGATTAATGTTTGTTGAGAAATTTTTAGTATAATATTTTTTTAATTTTTGGACAAATCAAGATTCTTTTTTTTTCCATAGAAACAGACAAAAAGATTTGATTTTTATTTAAAGTAAAGCAACTTTTAGGAATAAAAAATTAGCACATGAACCATGATTACTGATACCCGATTTTTTACGTGCCAATCGAACACTCTAACTTACAAAATAATCACTTATGTATTATATCAGCGTAAGATATACACGAGATATAATAGGAATAAATTGAAATGTTTTGTTGTCATTTGAAATTAAGTTAAAGTGTTTAGATGTACATTTTCAAAATTAAAATAATAAATTATCAATTGAGACCAAATTTGAGTGCGTAATATTATGCAAAAAAAAAATTATGTTCAAAACTAAAATAAGTCTTTTTTTCTTTATTAAATGTTGTGTTAAGCAGTGAAGATGCAACTATTTAGCGATAGGTTCATCTGAATTGAGTATTTTCCATGTGAAACATTTATATGTGAAAGTTTATTAGAAATAAAAAGTAGATTCAAACACATATAAAATACAATAGATTCAATTTTAAAGATTAAACTCATAAAAATTAAATTCTGAATTCATCGTCGAGTTAAACTACGACGAAGAAAGTAAAATAGTAGAAGTACTACACTACATGTTGGATAAAGTTTTATTGGCACTTAATATTTATATCAAATAATACTTTATTGTCTTTACAAAATTAAGTCATAATTTAAGATAAAAACATGTACTTATCATTGCATGATAAATGGGGTTAATACCTCATATGGTCACTCACATGGTGACTTTTTAGTGAAAATTAAAAGTTGAGTGACTTTCTGAGGTAAAAGTGGATAGTTGAGTGACTATCTGAGGTATTAACCCTGATAAATTTTTACTAATAAGCCAAAGGCTATTTGAACTGCTAATGAAGCTATTAATTAAAAAGCACTTATAATATTCATGAATATTATAATGAAATTTTCATATTATCAAATATAGTTTTAAAAATTATATCTAATTAGCTTTTAAATTATTTGCTGGCCTAGAAATTTTTTAATGAATAGCTCCAAAAACAGAAATTAAATTTATTCCCAGTTAGAATAGAGAAGTGTCTCTCTAAAATTGAAAAAATAGTACTTATACACAACAATTTGATAATTATTTGTTACAGACTATCAAAGATTTAACGAAATGGTAAGTACTCATAGGTTTCGGATTCGAGCCTTGTTTGCAGAGTTACTTTTAGTAGGAAGCGTTTCGTCTCCCTAAGAATAGTACTAGTAATACTAGTGGTATGAAAGCAAAAGCAGATACGGTGCTCCAAACTACCACCAAGCATGTCCAGAAAGCGAGACAATGCTTAACTAAGGAGAATAATAGCCTGCATCAACAAATAAAAACCAATTTATTTCTATTTAAATTAACTAGATATACAAATCAGGTCGTTAGTGAAATCCTTAAAAATCAATGTTGAAAACAAGAAGTATTGAGTTAATACTATCATTTTTCGCAAGTTTCACATCTCAACTATCAGTTGTTCCATTTTTCTACTGGAACTATCATCATCTATGTATTAAAATACACCTTGAAACCAATAAGGCCAACTATCAGTTGTTCCTTTTCCTACCAGAACTGTCACCATCTACTCAATTAGAGTGTAAAACTCGTAAAAAAGTGATAGTTCAGATGTGTTTCGACCATTATGTCCATTTAAAGCCCTTTTTATTAGTGAGAATGAAAAGCAATTCAATTATTTAAGTAAACAACACAATATGATTATATGAAATCAAGGATATCCATTTATGATATCTTGTATACTAGTAGACTTGTGGGGTGAAAGGGAATCAAGGAAGGAGTAATCAATAAACTATAGAGTTCATGTAATAGGCATCGTCAGTTCAAACAATTTTACACCATCAGGTCATCTGTATTTATTGTAAATATCCTTTAGATGACTTGAGAGTGTAAACAGTTATTTACATCGACGTGTACAAAACTTAAACTATAAACTATATAAAGGTACAAATCAATTGGCAAAAAGAAATGAAAGCTTCAAAGTCCAAACCTTAGTCACTATGGCCCTTAGGAGATGATCAGGAATCGAATTCTCGAGGGTATACATGGACCTTGAACCCCTCATCTTCTTGAATTGAGATAATCGAGTTCACAGAAGAACGGCTGCACCAGTGTAGCTCAACACTGTGTAGCGTTGAAACATCGCCTAAGCATGAAGGGAACTCCTTAAGTTTCTTACAACTTTGCAGAACAAGATGCTCAAGGGAAGGTAAGCAATCAGATGAGATGTTCCATTGTTCAATGTTCAAAGAGTCTAACTTCAAGAATCTTAGTTTCAGGAACTCTCCGTCTTTCATGTCCCATTGCACACCCTCAAAGGCTCGGGCAAGTAGTTTGAGAACCTCAAGGTGTGGTAAGCTACCAATTCTTGAAATTTCAGTCCATGGTAGCTGAAACTTTGGCAATGTCAGTCTTTTGAGATTTGAGGGGAAGTTGAACTTACAAGAAGAAAATGACTGACCATAGTGTAATATCTTGAGTGATTCAAGTCGACTCACACACTCCAGTGATGGAAAATGACAGCAGTCCTCCGAGTCAACTGATATGCATCTCAATTTCCGAAGATTAGGTAACCTTCTCATTACCTCATTAGGATCCATGGCATGATCTTTGTTATAGATGAGGGCCGGAGTGGAAATGGTTTGCAGGTTTTCTAGTTGAATCAAATTCCATCCATCACAGCCAAAAACAGCACGTGCATCGACATGAAGATGTCTCAGTCTTGAAAGTGTGTATGGCAAACAAACTTCACCTCTCAAGGCTTTCAGAAGAAATGTTTCAAGGTACAAGAGTTTCCAACATTAATGCATCCCAAATCCAACACGCGAAGTAATCTAAAACCGAGACATATAGGAGAGATATCATATGGTTTTGTCAAGGATTTGTCATTAATGTCAAAGAACAACAAAGAACGAAGCTGTGGTCCTGATGGCCTAGACTTGACAAGAAAACTCTCCCTTTGTGAATAGATGCATAACCTACGTTGAGTATGTCTGGTATACAGTTCTTCAGGAGATAGAGAGTATGTTGACTCCAAAATATCGTCTAGATCATCACAAAGAGTGTGCTTGTCCTCCTTATATATAAGCTCAAAAAAGTTCTCTTCTTCAGCTTTTCTCTTGCAATATTCAAGCAACAGATCATGAACATGACAGACTTTAACGGAGCCATTCGATCTCTTTTTAGCAACCATTACCAGGCTTCTTCCTATCAAGTCCGTTAAGTAGTCCTCTGCTACATCCTCAAAGCTCTTGCCATCTATTTGTGGAACAAACTCTTCCGCCATCCACAACTGTACCAATTTCTTGACAGATATGTGAGGATGCTTTAGAAATTTACCTAATTAAAGGAAGCATGGTTTTAAATGATCAGGCAAATGCTTATAGCTCAACTCCAAAATGACTGAGCATTGATTGGGATCATCAACAATATATGTACTTATGCTCTCCGCGACTTCATTCCACCAAGATTCTTTCTTTTCTGTCTTAGCCAGAAGCCCAGCTACCATGTAACAGCAAGAGGAAGTCCTTGACAACATTCTGCAATTTGCATTCCAGGTTCCTTTAGATTTCGGGGGCAGCAATCTGTTGCAAACACCTTCTTCTGTAATAACTCCCAACTTTCTTCAACATTGAAATGCCGAAGAGGAGTAGGATGATTGTCAGGCTTCGTATCAGATTCAATGTATGAAGCCAAACCTTGCAGTTGAGTTGTGACCATTATTCTACTACCATTGTCATCGTCTATAAATGACCTCTGCAAGTCATCCCAAGCCTTGATATCCCAAAGATCATCAACGACAATTAGGTACCTCTTCCTCTTTAACTTTCTACACAACAGTTCAGCTAAATCCGCGTCATCCTTCATCTTAGTCACTTCATCAACTTCCTCGAGAACTTGGGACAACATCTCCAAGAGCAACTCTTTCTTTTTATATACTTTAGAAACATAACACCATGCACATTTGTCAAAGTGATTGAACCTTTTCATCATTGAACACTTTTTTTGCAGTAGTCGTCTTGCCAAGTCCAGGCATGCCAACAATTGAAATCACATCACGCTCTGTCATCCTTCTGGCAAGGCCATCAATGATATTCTCTACCACATCAGTGAAACCCACCACTACATCATCGTGGAACGTTGGAGCATTAGTTCGTGATAATTCACAGGTGGAAACCACTCGAACATCACAAATTGTTTCAAATGTTAATGTTCTAGATATGTCACTGAACTCTGCCTGAATCACCTTAAGTTGTTCTACAACATCAGACATCTCAACCACACTACACCAGATGTTTTGGTCCCCAACCAAAAATGAGTCAATATATAGCATATTCCGCCTCATAGGCCTCTTGCATAACACGTGCCTTCAGATGCTCATTGTTCTGCTTGATAACATCCCAGAGATTCTTCTTCAGATACTCTAACGCGTCATGCACTCTTGCAACATGATGTTTGGGAAAAGGAATGCGATCAGCTTTATGGAGGAGGAGTTCTTTCAAATTTCCTAAAAAGGAATTGAAAAGGCCTATGTCTCTTGCCACTCTCTTCATGATTCTAGTTCTTTCTAGATAAACAGAAGTGGCTAACTCCATTTTGTTCAGCATGTCTTCGTTCGATGCCTTATTACTGAGTGACATAATAAGTGATCCAACCATCGACAATGTAACCCTCCCTTGTGTGATAAAAACATTTAATTCACTTCCAAGAGAACGACAGTCGTCTGGTGCCTTGCAGAAACACTACTTCCTCATAAAGAATTTGAATTCGATCCTCTTTACCAACTCAGGATGGGCTATTAATGCAATGTGTATCAGGATCAACTTTACCAACTCAGGATATTGCTCAGGAATATCTTTCAGAAACATCAAGTACTCAACAAGGCCATTGATTTTCCAGGACACAATCAGCAAATTCCACCACAAATTTGTCACAAAAATGTGAATCAGAACATTTTGAGCTTAAAACAGTTGCATAAACTTGTGTAACTTCTGCTTTCGAATCATTAACCTTTTCCGAGGCATTAGAAACCAGTAGAGCCATGTGGATAGGCACGTTTCCGTCTATACTCTTAACATAAAGAGATTGAAAATCTGATTCTGCATTCTGCACCAGAGTTTCTACATGCATCAACAATCCTGAGAAGCCTTAAATCCGCTTTAAGGGTCCGGATTTGATCCTTCGTTGAAGGAGTTGAGTCTTCATGACTGTCTAAACAATCCAGACATTTCAAGAGATTGTTAACAACACTAAAGTCCATCCCTTCTGTCCTATACAACAAAAATGAAAAAATCAGCCCATAAACGAAATCTCCCAAGAAACTGTGACTAGTATTTAGTAAAAATACAAGAAGAAGAAGAACCAAACACTTATCATGATTTAAGCTCTGCTCATCTCTGTCACCCAAACTATAATCCAAAATCGATATCATGTAATGTATTAGCATTTTCTTGTTTTAAATACCGGTAGTGTTCAGACCAGCTTGGGCCTTGGGGCATGTCACGAGGTACCTATTATCTCTCACCAGCACAGATACCAAGTAACTTTGCATACTGAGACCTTGGTAGATGAGAAGAAATCACTTAGCGTTTTTCGCCTTGCTATGATTTGAACCTGAAACTCATGATTCTCGTCCTACTTCATTAACCACACCATTGAGTGTTAGGTAAATATTTAATCACTAATGTCACCATTCCATTTACATAACAATGAAGACCTCTTTTTAAAAAAATTGATAAATCATAGCATACGGATGAAAAGGAAAATGCACCCGTGCAGAGGCGGATTTGGCCTTTTGGTTATGGGTTCATCTGAATCTATGACTTCGAAAAACGAAGTACAAATATACACATAGAAATTACTAAAATCTCAATAAATTTTAGATTTTGAACCCATACTTTTAACAGTACAACAAGTTCTGAGAATCTTAAAAAAACTCATTAAGTTTAAATCATGAATCCACCTCTGTCAGTACCCACCATTCATAAATCATTATTTTTTCAAAAAATACTAAACGAGGCAAGACAACGCAACTTCTTGTCAATTGAGCAGATTCACATAAGAAGTATTAAACTTTATATTGCACGTGTAATTTGTCAATAGTGACATGTTATACTAATACCTAACAATACACTTCAACCTAATAAAAAGAATGGTTTGGTTCTCCAACATTTGGTCCAAAAGTGAAAAAACACACTTGACCTGGGAATGTATTATTTTCACTATTATCGCAAAAATGTAATTGCCAAAGAAAAAATATATGAGGATGAGGAAAACATGGAACCAGCAGGGAATAAAGTAGGCAACGTCTTATACTTGAGGAAAAAAGGAAGTTGGAACACAACAGCAACTGTAGTTATTTGCTACGACAAAAAGTATATCAAGATCAAATCGCCTGACGAAAATTTCAACCCTCTCCATACAGTCGGAAATGTCCTAGCCAAGAATTGCTACTCTTGAGCTCATAATACCCACATAACCAATCTCTGATACATATTAAGGTAAAATGCAACAAATTGAATTTCTTGAACCAAAATGCCGAGGATGCAAGACTTGAGTATAAGCCACTGCACGACTCATCAGTTACTAACCCTCATTCACCGCCTAGAAGATGACCAACTGGTCCTCGAGCCACTACTACCAAATGATGTGGGCTTTCGTTCATCGCGCCATGATGGTCTATCATCTGGCTTGCTTCCAGTGCCACCCCACCTGTCAGTTTCAGGAGGTGGAGCCTGGCCTGCAGCATCAACATTCCCTCGCAAGTGCCTAGGAACGTATTTCCCAGCAGCAGGTGCAGCAGGTGCAGCAGCAGCTGCTGCTGGTGGTGGGGGCTGCTGGGGGATGGG